TCACACGACTTATTTTCTATAATTATATGAGATGAGACTGATTGAGTTTATTTTGTGGGAAGGTTTACAAAAATGGAGCTTTGCACGTAGGTAAGTCCAGTGTCATCTGATCACTTTAGTAGGATGTACTATCTAGTGCTGGTGGGTGCCACCGCTTTCTGTATGTAAACAGAAGTAATTAGAAGATTTAATTCAGGAAGTTCGAGACAGGCTTGTAACCAGCAAGTTGTGCACACCTATAATTGCATTGGTGAGGTCATTTGTATTGCTCGCCCCATAAGCGGAAGGTACTTTTAACTAACTCTTCTATCATATTCGTTATTGCTACCAATCGTTGTTTCTGTTGTTGCTTTGTGTTTGGTCTGTTTTCTGTGATCTATTAATTTTTCCGGTTGCACTGGATATAGCTATTAATTTAGCATTAGATCATGTTTGATTTTTCATGTTCACACGAAATATTTCTTCAGGTCTTTTGGTATTATAAAGAGGTTTGATCAATATTCCAGAAAACACTCTGTAAGTTAACTTGTTTAGGCTATTGTATATGTATTATAATCTTATATTTCACAGAACTGTTCGTCAATGGTCTGTTTTTATATTCTTGTAGATCATGTTTGAAGACGGCAATGTTGAATTTCTTGACATGTCGAAAGAGGATTGGGAATTTGCAAGATTGTGAGTGGTAGGGTATGCAATACTTTTAGTTGTGATATAGTCTGTTACTTCTCCCCTAGATACCAATTGAAAATCTTGCCCCTTCACTGATTTTGCAAATGCCGCGACTGAAGCAAGATTAGAAGTTTTGGACTGTGTTCATTTTACTAACTGGATTGGAAATTGATTCTTTTTTCTTTAGCTAAATATATCAAATGGTCCCTAATCTTTAAGATTTTTCTCGATTTAGTCCTGAAGTTCTCAATTTTACTCTATATGTATCAATTCTTAATTAAGTCGTCCCATGAAAAAATTTGTTAACATGAAACTAATCAGTCATTAAATTATGTTTTATTTACCTATTTGGAAAAATGAATCTTGTTTATTAGCAGGTCAAGTTTTAATAATGGATGAGTAGTGTTTTAAGTGTTATGAATTTTGAAGATTGAGGACCAAATGAGAATTAACTAAAATATTAGGGACCATCTTACACATTTAGCATTTTTTTTCCTTTGATGTACTAAATTAAAAATGTGATTTTTTTTTAAATGGCTGATGGTTTGAAAATAAAGGTACAGAGTGTAGCATTAGCTCAGCTTGCATCAAGAAAGCAGCAACATGAATAGAAAAGAATGACTATTCACTTACTGGCGTTTTGGGCGACTAATCAAGGAATGCCACGTGGAATTTGGCAGCCAATGATATCTCTCAGGTTGTACTATACTAAAGTTCTAATGCTCGACTTACTGATTGCTGAAATATGAAAAACTTTCCCTTCGAAAGGGTCAAAAGAAAAGAGAAAAAGATTTTTGTATTGTATTGTATTGTATTCTTGCTCCCATAAACTTGGCGACATTGTTGTATGATATGTAGTTCTGTTCTTTCACATTAGAAAAAGAAATAAGGACTCAACCAAATCAGCCTTATTATTACTTTTTGGACCAGTGGGGAATGTTATTTATAAAGTCCAGTTCTGTCATTGTATTCATATTCAAGTGTTAATTCTAAGTCTTCCTTTTTCTTTTTTTAATTGAGACAATTTAATTGAAAACTGTAAATGTTTGGTCTACATTTTGGGTTATCTAAAATATCTTCAAACTCTGATGTAGATGGCAAACGATGGACCTCTCCACTACTGTGGTTGGTACAAATATAACAGTTGGTGGCTGGATCTTTAGGTGAAAGCTTGCAGCTCACGGCTCGATCAAGGGGGCCATAAGGCTGGGCCACAAAACATACTTTTCATCCAAACAAAATAAGACACCTAAAATGCTTAATTACAAATTACAAGTAACAGAGTTTAACTAAAGATGGACTGAAATTTACAGAATGGTGCCATTACAAAACAAAATTAAATTCAAATACATGTTTACTAACTAAAAATCGGAATAAGAATCAATGGAAATGAAAATAAAATGGTTGGGACGTACTCCTAAATAAATGTTAGGAGTCATCTAGTGAAACATCTATAAATTGGATCTCAATGTTCCACTAATGTCCTCACAATGGAAATGAAAATAAATTGGTTGGGACGTACTCCTAAATAAATGTTAGGAGTCATATCTAGTGAAACATCTATAAATTGGATCCCAATGTTCCACTAATGTCCTCACACAATGGAAATGAAAATAAATTGGTTGGGACGTACTCCTAAGAGTATATCTAGTGAAACATCTATAAATTGGATCCCAATGTTCCACTAATGTCCTTAATATTGAGGAGTTAACTTGTACATACAAAAGTTGGGCTATTTTGCATACTTTTTTTAGGGAAATTTAGGTCGGTGGCTAAATTTAGGTACTCATTTTAAAAAATGTCTTTGTTTTTAATTTGCAAAAATGACTAAAGGATATTTTAGGAATTTTATAAAATATAGGGTTTTTCCATCCTTATTGAACTTTGTTTTTAATTCAAATTGTATTTCCTACCTTCAAGGGATCTTAAGTTAATTATTTTAATTATTTTGTTTTGGATTTCAATTTCAGTATTGTGATTGTCTACGGTCTCCCATCTCATTCTCCTGTCATTTTACTATCACAATTTCAAATCTCTCAGATGTTAGTTCGAAATGACTCTACGTTATCCTGCATTAGGAAGAGTATTCACTTAACATACGGGAAAAAGTTGTATTCATATCATTGGTCAAGGATGATAGTCACAAGTCTACTAGCTAAAGATAGTGATGTCACATGGTTTTTAACTGTATTGTTGAATGAGTTGTGGATAAAGGAGCCAGACGAATGTAAATATTAACATTTACCCTAGCTATGAGACTTCGACACAAGTGAGGTCTACACTAGATAGCATTGTTGTAGACATTGACCCCATAAATGGAAGCGAGACATCAGTACACACATCCCACCATAAATGTAAGGAACTCGTAGTAATGGATTCGAGTTATGGTTTCCTGTCCAACTTTGTACTGGAAAAATATTGTGCTTTTCTAAGCAAGGAAGAATTGAAGAAGAGTTTACTCTGTAGTCTTAAAAGGTAGAATGTTGTTCGGATGAAGGGCGATGGAGGAAGGGTAGCATGACAATATGCTATTCGAATAAAGGTGATTGTGAAGATGAAGATGCTGGTCACTACAGTTGGGTTGGGGTGGCGTGGGGTGGGGCGGGAGCGCGTGAAGTAAAGAAGATGGGAGAAGGTGGGGCTCCTAAATCCTAATTTTTTTAATTAAGTCAAATGTAAGACTTAAATTTTCCCTGTTAATAATTATATTTACCCTCCTATTTGAAAACTTTAGATTTTAGATTGATAAATTTCAAAATCTACCTCAACACATTTTTAACAATTTTTTCTTAAAACTACTTTCAAATTCTGATTATTAATTTTAAATTAGTTTTAAGTTAATTATTTTAATTTCATTCATTTTTTATTAGATATATTTGATTCTCTAACGTTAAGGCCGTTGTTTTTGCTATTAGTTAAAAATGATAAATCCCTAAAATTATGCCTATATACCTAATTGGTTACAAAGGTATATTTGTCTACAAAATATTTTAGAATTAAAAGAAAAAATCAAATTAACCATTATTGCAATATTTCATAAATTTGGTCATTTTTTAAAACGCGTTATTAATTTTGGCTATTCTTGCAGTCTTAGGGTCTTTCTATTTGGGCTCAAACCTTTTCACGATTGCTTCAAGGCATTGATAGGTTTTCCAGAAAGATCATGCCTTTAAATGGTACAACAACATGCTATGATATGCAATCATCATGGAAACATTGCAAATTTTCTAACCGTTGTCTAACTAATTCTCGAACTATTCCTTTGGGACAGAGCTTTATTGGAAACCATACCTTAACCTACTATATTTGAAAAAACCAAATGTGGTTGCTATTTTGCTAAATATTTTTAGTCATATTTGCAATTGCCCCTATTTATCATTATACAAGAGCAATAATTACAATATACAACATAAAGAAAAAAAAAACAAACAACAAGGCGAACCTACTCAATGTGATTGGTCACTTAAAAAAGAAATTGTACGTGAAAAACAAATTTTTGTTTCCTGTCTCTAGTGATGGATGTGTATAAGAGACAGGATCATATGTTCCCACCTATGTCTCTAGTGATGCTTCAACCTTCGTTTCTGCTGCTCCTGCTGGGTATAGAACTTAGAAGGGTACTGATCCTGGATCTACTACTGGCCCTATTGGCCTTGCTCGCTTTGTTTATGTTCCTGTGGGGACTGGCTTTCGAACTGACTCGACATCTGCTGAATAAATTCCTCCCTGGGTGAATCTGGATACCAAGCAAGTATATCCCTGACTAATGGGAAGACCCCCTCTATGATCCGGAGAACCGGCACACTGACCCTATATCAATCAACGCCCTCGTACTTTGAAAATGTTGATTTTGGTTCCTATACATTTAAAAAGTGTTCAGACACAGAGCCATTGGAGCATTCGGATTCGGCCACGGTCGATATTCATTGCGAAATTGCACCAGGCGCAATTTTGGAAAGCACTCCACCGGCCACTCTACAAGGTATTTCGTCTCCCAATTTTTCAAACCTTATTTTGACTAAAAAACCTTTAGTTTTGGATGATTTAGAATTGGAAAAGACGACGTAAAATCACCGAGATCAATTTTGGTGGCTTTAAATGAAGCAACGGGAGAAGATCCATTGGAGGATGATGGAAACAGTAGGGAAGCTCAAGAGAGGTTGAATTTTGATGGAGAATATGAGAATCTTGGAGATCTACCACAAGAAATATATGGAGAGAAGTGCGAGGAAGAAGAGGGAAACGACGATATCTCCCAATTTTAAGTGAGAATGCGTATTTCGGTTCATGAGTCACAACAAGACGAGGATAAGGCCCCTATTCAAGTGCAAGAAGTGAAGGGATGTGAATCCCGGAGCGGAAACGGATCTTCGTTGCTGATTTTCGGGATACAAAACCGAAATTCAAAGAAGGAAATACAGGGGAAAAATCAAACCTTTGAAGAACGTTTCTTCAGTGAGTTCCCCTCGAACACCACCACCGGATCTTCCTCGCTATCCTCTGGGTACGAGACCGTGCTTGTGGGAGCAGTTCTTTGGAATGAGAGGGAGAAATTGAGAGATCTCTTGAGAGAGAATTGATGGGTTTCTTGGTTCTGTTTTGTAACCCCTTCATCTCTTCTCCAACACACTTGAAGAAGAAGAGGGATGACGTGGGGTAAACTCCCCACGTCACAAAACCTCCCACTCCCCTACAATTTTGCAGGGGAGTTAATATATATATATATATATATATATAAAACATATAATAATTAAAATATATATATATCAAATAAATAATTAACCCTTAATTATTTATCACATGAATAGAATCATATTCTATAGCATTTCTCTCGTATAACCTATAGTTCTAATGTACACCTTATGCATATTATTTTTAACCTATAATTTTAATATAAATCTTATTCATATTAATTTTATTTGAATCTCATTCAAATAATTTCTCTCATAATATATAGTTTTAATTTATTATTAACTATGTATCAATATATATATAATCCCTTAAGAAATTTGAACAATTCAAATTCTTCCAAAAATTTGATTCTCGTTTTACCCGTTATGAGCTAGCCAGGGGACCTAATGGACCTACAGATCAAATCCAACGATGCGAGATTAATCGGTCAAACTCATTGACTGAGTTAATCAAGATTCGTTAACTATCGGTCATTCCAGTAAAGACCCGCAGTTGCACTCTTCTCACTGCAGAACTTTTTCGTGTCCACGGATATATGACCATTAATGACGAGTCAATCCTTCACGAGTGCTCGTAACTCAAGTCGTCTGTAACCTTTACAGAGTGGACCGTATCCATAGTGTTGCCAGGATAAGGTACCCAGCCTTATCTATATACTATAGACCCTTTAGGTTATTCACGGGATATTATCCATTCATATATCAGGGGTATATCAAATATATACCCAGTATATATACTGTCCCGATTACATTAAAATAACCTTGGATATTATCCATGATCTCCTTAGCGGTGACCGTGTCCTTGTGCTTCTTAGCAAGCACATCAGATATGCTCGCTAAGATGTAGACTTTGGCCTTGTCATTGGCCTTGATCCACCTGTCATAGACGTTGCGCACCGCCACAGTGGCGTTAGGCGCAGGAGCTTGAGGACAATCCTCTTGCAAGACGAACCTAAGATCATCTATCACGAGAATGGTGGTTAGGTTTGACTTCCATTGTTTGTAATTTTTGCCATTAAGTCTTTACGCGGCTAAGAGTGCAATAATAGAAGTAGACATGCTGAAAGTAAAAACAAATCTATATTAGTTTCATGCATTAGACTTTTAAACCCAATCAAAATTTTAGCAAAAGTAATTAAGCACCCTAACAAAATTGTTTTGCAACGACGCTTCAGTGATTTAGAGCAACAGCCACCGTAGGGCGAACAGGTACTCCTTCACTGAATTGAGACATTCTCAACTAAATTTTACACCAGAATAACTCTTATTCCTATAAATTTTAGTCATCGTTTATTT